ACCTGGAAGTCAAAGGGAGGGGCTTGCATGATGAGTGTGGGTGTGCTTGTGTGAGAGAAGCTGGGCTGGGTTTCTGTATCAGCAGCTATTTAACAGATGCTGACTCTGAGGATCATCACAGTCAATCATGGCTCGTCCCAGGATTCAGATGTGGACATGGACGCTGTGCGCCTTGTGGGTGTGTGTGAGCCAAGCGCTGACTGGACCGTAAGTTTAACTTTACTGTCTGAGGACATGGTATGATTTGTTTTTTGTTTCTGTGTATGTGAGTGTTAATTTTTCAACCAGTTCACATGAATACTGCACTGAAGCTTCTTCCACGTTAGAGTGAGAGTAACTGCTGTGTGTGTGTGAATCTGTCTGTCTGTAGGCAATACATGGTGACGTTTCCTGCAGTTCTTGAGGCTGAATCTGAGACCAAACTGTGTGCAAGCCTCATGCAGCCCAATGAGACTCTGCACATGACCGTCACTTTGATGTCCAATCATCTGAACAAGACTCTACTCCAGCGGACAGCCAAAGAAGACTTTCATGATTGCGTTCACTTTATGGTCAGCTCCCAACACTTGTTTTGATTCATGTGCTTGTTTCCAAAACCATTCCCTGAAAATGTCTTCATTCAAATAGAAGATTGTTGAAGTTGGAGAATATTTTGGGGATTTTCTAACACTTCCAACCATTACTTTGATGCTACTTTCATACAAAGGAAACAACAGATTTTGTTTGGTTGGTTATCATGTCTGGCGCCTGAATGAAGTTTCTTTCTGTCACAGACTCCTGCAGTGGCCAATGAAGAGCTGCAGAATGTGGAGGTGAAGGTACAAGGCAACACATTTTACTCAAGAGAATCCAAGAAAGTCCTGATCAAGGCCCATAGACCAATGTCGTTTGTCCAAACGGATAAACCAATTTACCTTCCAGGACAAAAAGGTAAACATGTACCATGTACTGGTATACACTATATACAGACAGATTTCACCATCTATAAACATGAGAAACAGTCATGCAGCAGGAGGGTAGAAAACTAATTCCCATAATTAGATAATGTGTTGTGCATATGATCAGTGTTTTTTTTTG